GGTGGTGAGAAAAGGCCAAGAAGATTGAGCTTTCCACTCATAAACATGACATGAGGAGCTTTTTTCAGGCAATAGGGGCCATTTACGGTCCATGCCCCCATACTCCTATACCACTCTGAGCCCAAGATGGGTCAATGTATTTTAAAAACAGCTAAGCCATCAAAGCCAGATGGAAGGAGCATTTTGAGTCACTCCTGAATCATGAATCAACTGTTTGATGCCACTATGAATCCATACCTCAAGACATGAAAGAGAATCTCTTGCTGATCCCACCCCCCATCCTCAGAGAAGTACCACGAGCCCACATGCAAACCAAGAACAACAAGGCAACAGGACCAGATGGCATACCAGCTGAAGTCTACAAGTTTGGAGGTGAGGAACTGGTAAAGAAGGTCCACAAACTTTTTATTCAAATCTGGTATAATGAGAAGATTCCGGAAGACTTGAGAAATGCCAACATTGTTACAATCTTTAAGAAAAGAGATAAGTTGGAGGGTGAAAATTATCGAGGCATTGCCTTGCTATCTACAGCAGGGGAAATTCTCGCCTGTATCCTCTTAAACCAATTACTTCCCTTTGCTGAGGAAATATTGCCAGAATCTCAGTGTGGTTTCAGACCATCTCACAGGACAACCAACATGATCTTCGTTGCCTGCCAAATCCAGGAGAAGTCTCAGGAGTAAAATCAGGACCTGTACATGGCCTTCAACTCCATCAGTCACAAAGTCATGTGGAAGGTGCTGGCCAGATTTGGCTGCCCTCCCAACATTTTTACGGTCCTAAGACGACTTCATGATCAGATGACTACCACAGTTTTCTATAATGGCCTGGAGACGGACACTTTTGTCATCAAAACTGGTAAACAAGGATGTATTATTGCACCAACCCTATTCTCCATCTATTTAGCAGTCATTTTGGTCCTCATTAAAGACCGCCTCCCTAATGGAGTTGACATTCAATACAGAATGGATGGGCAGTTGTTTAATCTTCAAAGTTTAAAGTCCTCCGGGCATCCATTAGTGATCTTCAGTATGCTGATGACTGTGCCATCCTTGCACGCACTGGGTGACTTTCAATCCACACTGGATTTTTTTTTGCACAAGCTTACCAAAGCCTAGGACTCTCACTTAATATCAAGAAGACTAAAGTGCTCCATCAGCCTGCCTCAGGCCTTGTACATGACCCACCACAAATCACCTTTGAGGGACAGACTTTGGAGACAGTCGAGCACTTCTGCTACCTCGGTAGTGAACTCTCTCAAAATGCAAAAATCGATAGTGAGATCCAGCACAGGATCCAGGGCACAAGTGCTTTCTTTGGGAAAGTGCTCCAACGTCTTTTCATGGACCGTTACCTATGGAAGGACACCAAGATCCAGGTCTATAAGACAATTGTTATTCCTATACTCCTTTATGGATGCGAAAGCTAGGTATCCTATCAACAGCACCTCAAGAGTCTGGAGAGGTGCCATCAGCAATGGCTCTGGAAGATCTTTCGCATCAAGTGGGAAGATCACTGCACTAATGCCAGCATCCTCACCGAAGCCAATGTTACCGGCATTGAAACAATGATCCTCATGCACTAACTCCGCTGGGCTGGACATTGTGTGTGGATGCCAGACTCTTGCCTCCCAAAACAAGCCCTCTACTCTCAGCTCACCCATGGTCAGAGATCCTGTGGTGGTGAAGGAAACGCTCCAAAGTAAACTAATTGACATAAGCTGGGAGGAGCAAGCCACCAACCAACCTCAATGGCGCCACGTCGAGGAGAAGTGTCTTGCCCTCTAAGCTGAGAAGAGAGAGAGAAGGAATTAAAAAGAAAAAACCTTTTTCCCAGTAGGCAGCTGATCCACCAGAAAGTATCTGTACCTACTGCAGGCGGATCCGTGGTTCCCAGATCGGACTCCTGAGTCATCTCAGGATCCATATGTAAATCTGTGGTAGCGATCATCCTCAAATCGAGGGATCGCTAGTGATGGAGGCATTATTCTATTGCTAACAGAGAGTACAAGCACCTGTGAAGTTTCATAGCCTAGCAACTTTAATTTAGTCTGCCAGTTAATTTTTAGCATCACCTGCCTGCAACTCAGAGAAGTGCAGGTCAATCAGTCCAGCTGCCTTTCTAATTCTACTCTCCCAATTGCACATCACAATGTAGAGAACAAATGGTAATGGAAAAATTAGACCTTGTAGAGTATGAGCACGCTCAAGATCAGCTGGCTGCTACCTGGAAATATCACCTTTACTCTCTTGAATGTAGCACTGCTCAGCTCAGCAGGCACGGCTAACTCAATACCTTTTTTATTCACCTTCCTTTCCACATTGTTTCCTTCTAGCTATGTATGGCCCCAGCAGCACTGTGGAGACTGGGTGCCATATAATGAAAAATGAATTTCAAGAGGAAGAGCTGCCTTCCTTTCCTTAAAAGCATCTCCCCAGTATTTGGACATCTTACCTGTTCCATGAAGCCAGGTACATAGGTTACAACCCAATCTGATCTGATTTCATTCTTCATTATAGAGTGCCTGTTCCTCAGTAGCAAAAATCATGACTTTACCTGTTTTGCCCAGGATCTGGCAATCCGCTGTATGTTAAGTGCTTGTCATGATACAGAGGTATAGAGCATTAGACTGATCACTAATTAACTGAACTCAAACCCTAGTTCAGCAGGTAATGTGCAGATTAATGACAGATGGGAAATTTATATCCTTCCACCTGCAGGTAATTGGAAGAAAATACATCCGTCTGTACTCTCCACAGGAATCAGAAAACTTATATCAACATGAAACCCAAATTCTTCACAACACCAGCCAGGTAAATAGCTGCCTGAAATCTAAAAATTGATAATTTAATTTTAAATAACCAAACCATCTTTGGACCTGAAAACAAATTGTGTGTTTGCTTTATAGGTGGATGTGGAGGATCCCGATTTAGTTAAGTTCCCCAAGTTTGAACGGGCTGCATTCCAAGCTTGTATTCTGACACCAGGACAGGTTCTGTTTATTCCAGTTAAATACTGGCATTATGTACGATCTCTCGATGTCAGCTTCTCTGTCAGTTTCTGGTGGTTATAAACCATTATTTGGTGTGGATAAATCTCTGTTGTGCAATTTAAGGTAATATAAAAAATGCAGCATGCTGTACTCTTGATTAGTGAAAGAATTTTCAGACCTTCAACAGAGGAAAGTTTTTTTCGTAACATGAGAACGTTCTCATTATCTTCTGCTTAAAGTGCAGAGCTGGGTTAAGAAATTCAGTTCTTTCTGCCTCCCGACATAGCGAGAAATCTAAACAAAGAATCAGAAATGAGGTAGCTGCAGCAGCCACTGTTTTGTGAATGTTTCCGATACAAATTCCTAATAAAGAGCATCTGTCAAATGATCAGCTCAAGTATACATACCCAAAACAAGACTATATATGGGCATTATCAAGACACTTGGCCCTAAATGGTGTGATTGTCAAAGTGGAGCTGAAGGGAGCATGTGATCCATCTGAATTTAATAATAGTTGCATAGCCATGACTTCCATTATGGTGGATAACATTTATACAAAATCTCAGATAATAAAAGGGAGCCAAGCCAGCAGTAAAGTCTATTGCTAATGAGGGCTGAAAGAGCAGTACACTGGATTATTATATAATTCAGTTATAGAGCTCAGCTGTAGTACTTGTGTTGTGCCCTTTGCAGGGAGATGGACTGTATTCCTTTCATTCTCACCAGCGGTTAATTCATTACCATCCTCGCTGTTGCAGCTGGCAGGGTCTGGTGCCTCTCTCTCTTCCAAGCCATTATAAGGAAACACAGACTATTCTAAAATGATTTTTAAAAATAGCTGCTGGAGAAATACATTAATATATAAAACATGGGCACTACAGTGACTTCTTGTCTGCTGATCTAACAAAAAGCCCATTTGCTCCCAGGGGAAATATGAAATGAAGATTTCATTTTCTTGATTAAAGCTCTGATATTACTAATCATTGCAAATGCAGAGTTCTCGCTCACTGTTATGCAAACCCCAAGTGCGTGTTTGCTTAGAATGAAGCCTCAACATGCGTTCTGGTGCAGTGAGCCAGTGAAGGAATCAGCACGTGGTGTTTGGAGACTGCTCCTTCATCGGGTGCTCATTCCCATTAGGCTCCTCTCTCCCACACTAAACCATTTTCTGGGGTATTATGTAAAAACAGTTATAACAGAAGGAACTGTGAAAGAGATGCTCAACTTCTACTCTCAGTCATTCTGGGCTGAAAAGACTACCCACCTGCTTCTGTGCCTGCGAAACTGTGAGACTAAATGTGCTTTGAGATCCAAGAAATGAAGGTGCAGCAGAAGTGCTAACTTAGCATTATTTATTATAACCAACAATTACCACGAAATCATGATATTAAAAGGAGGCTTAATAGATGCTCTTAAATCTTGGGAAACCCTGAGATGTGCTTCTGGTACCACCTCGCTGTCAGATTTGCAGCAATAAAGAATGAATGTGTGTGTGAATACTCTATGTTTAAAAGCATCCTTTCAGAGAAGGGCTGGACCTAGGTGGGGATGAGATATTTAATACTGAGCCCTGTCAGAGGCACCTTCACTGAATTCAATGACAAACCTCATTGATTTTATGGATTTTATAACAGTTTTAAAATGGAAGTCGAAATAGGTCTTGTCTCTTTTAAAAAGTTTTATTTTTGGAAGATTTGCACAAACTCCCCTGCACTGAGCTCTCCTGTCCCAGTTGCACGTTCAGACCTGTGCAGATGGATCCCTGCACCTGGGCAGGACCCCATTTAATTTAACAGGACTGGGCATGGTATAAAGGTCTGTCTATGTGGATCAGCTTACACAGCCGAGGCAGCAGCAGTCAAATCTCCCATTCCTACACAGGTGTAATGCCCCACCCCTCCTTTGGCAATAATGGTAGGTATGTACACATACCATGACAGCCTCCACGACAGCTATGCTGACCTTCTTAACAGTGCTGGAACGAAGCAAGACCTTTGAGCAGGGAGGCCAAGGTCAGAACAGTTTTATTTTCAAACTTCGAGCAAGATTTTAGCCAAGTAAAAACAAACCATAAAAAGAAAGTTGACTTTGTTCCCTAGGCATTCCTACTTTCAGAATGACACATTTTACAATAACGATGAAGTAAACTGCAATTGGGATAATCTTTAAGACAGTGAAAGAAAATGGCCGCTCTAACTGAAGCTGGTCTTTCTAACGCCGCCTTGTTCCTGAAGATGAGGTTCTTCTCCTCTCCCTTGGGGCACTTGAAGGCAACTGGGAATCTGGCCGATTTATCTCTGTGTTAAGAAACAATGCAATGTTAGTGAACAAATACTGGTTTGTGTTGTTACCGTGACAATACGCTTTCATGAGCTCCAAAATCTCTCTAAATGGCTAAAAATGTGTAAACTCCTATTTGCTTGTGACTTTCATTAGAAATGTTCCATTTTATTAGTTAAATTGAGGAATTCCGAGAAACTTCTGCTTAAAAGTAACTGAACATTTCCACATTTTTTTTTTCCACTCAAAATACTGCTGGTAGCAGAGAGGGTCTAGAACTCCGGGAGTAAAGGCACAACCCTGACAGTAATAGGTGCACAAAATTACCAAAGAAAGATCCACCAGCTGAAATAGTTGAAGTTTCCAGTAAGTAAGGAAGTTCAATCCACTGTCACCTCATCATGACTACAGTAACTTAAGTATCACCATTAAATACACCTCTACCCCAATATAACGCTGTCCTTGGGAGCCAAAAAAATCTTACCGCGTTATAGGTGAAACCGCGTTATATCGAACTTGCTTTGATCCACCGGCGTGCGCAGCCCCGTTCTCCCCCTCCCCCCGGAGCACTGCTTTACCGCGTTATATCCGAATTCGTGTTATATAGGGTCGCATTAGATCAGGGTAGAGATGTATCTCAGTCTATACAGAGGTATTATTATACAAGAATTTTAAAATGGGTTGCTTGCTACCTGGAATCTCATGTGGCCAAAACTCATTGCAGTGGGGACAGTGTGGTTCCGTCTGAGCTTTGAAATATTTTCCAGCACAAGGCAAGTGCATTCCAATTCCACAGGTTTCACATACTTGACTCTGAAATGAGAAATGTTACTGTTAACAGAAAGCATTTCTGGTCTCCCTCTCAGTGCTACAAAGCATGTCATCTTTGGAAAGAGTCTGCCTTACTGACCCAAAGTAAGAGCATTAACTTGAAAGAATTTTACTTCATTGCCAGCTGGAGGATCCTTGTAAACAGAGGCTGGTATAGGTTACAGGGAAATACGTACTTGGGAGCTGGGAAACGGGCATTTGTTGGGGTGATGGAAAGAATCATAGCAATAAAGCTTGGGAGCCAAAGGGTGTTGGGACAGGTGGGTGGGAAAAGGAGTGTCAGAACAGCGTGCCTGTTGGGGAAGACTTGGGGAAGAGAAGTAGCTGCAGGAGGCAGGGAATGAGTAATGGGATTGACTGCTGAGAAGAGGCGCTCTGGTTCCAGCCTCTTATTAAGGGGACAAGATTGGGCACTTGTGGGGGTGCCACTGCCCAGCTCCTCAATGCAGTTTGTGGACTTATTCTAGAGCTCTGCGACCACCACCAAGAGTGAAGATGGATGCACATGCCAGACAGGGAAATCACCATGTGCTGAGCCCAGTGGCTTAGAATAGCTAACAACGGTTATGCACATGTAAAAATGGGAAAGATTCACCCCCAGCTCAGCTGACTGGGATAGGAGCCAACATGATAGATGCAGGGTTCTCACTGGCTGAGCTCACTTTCTCCAAGTTCATATATGTTTTCCAGTGACAGCAAGCAGCAACAGAATGGGTCAGAATAGGTATTTTGTGTACTGTGGACTCCATTGCCAGGTTACAACAGCAGTCTGAACATAGAACAAATGCTCAGAAAGAAAAATATCACATACTTTAGCTACCATCATGCATGAGTGTTTCTCAACAGCAGACACCTACTGAGGAAGCCCAGCCCAATTTGTTACCTGGATGGCGAGGCTGTGACAGATGTTACATTTCCTCACCAAGTCTTGGTAGTTGCTGAGGATGTATTGCTCCATCTCCATTATGCAGCGAGTGTGCAACGTGTACTCCCCATCTCGCTAAGGGAACAACACCACCAACTGTAAGACTATAATATTGTTTCTTACAATTCACTCTTGACCTTTTTCTGACCTCGCTCTCTACCTTTTAGCAAAAGCAAAGCTTGATATTCATTTCTTTTCAGCATCCGGCAGAGCCCAATCACTGACTAATACAAAGACAATATCCAAATTCCACTCAAAGCACTGCACCTAATTAGCATAAAACAGCAGGAAAAAGCTCCCTTATCTTTAATAAATATGCATACCATGGAAGCTAAAGGTCCCTGCAAGCATTCGCCCATCCTCCATCCAAGACCACAGAGGTAAAAGAGATTATTCTTAACAAAATGTAGGGTTCCATGTGACAACATATGCCTTTGCAACTGGACTTCTCTTTGGCACAGCTCTAAAATACCTAGATTACTGAGAAATATCATGAAAGAAAATCTGGCACCATTTCTTAACACATGTAATAAAGGAAGAGATTTTCAAAGGCACAAATGGGAGTTGCCTCCTGACCTTCAGTAGGAATTGGGCACCTACCTGTCCTTTACATTTTTGAAAGTCTCCCCCAGATCAAGGGAGCCCGTGGCAGAGGACGGTGTAGAGATTCAAGGGGAAACACCTCCAAGAGCAGAGGGTGAGCACAGCAACAGCACCACTTACGGACATGGTCACCTCTGCTTGCCAACATGAGGGGTGGAACTATCACTCCAGCTCTTCTCTGGTGGGGCTAACACCAGCAGTGGCACAACCACTTCCCTAATTCAGTATTTAAAGGAGAGCTGCAAGTGTTCAGAGTGTCCCAAGCATGGAGACTATGGGAGTGTTTCGGCATTTTTCTCAGTTACACCTATGGAACTTTGCTGCCTTGCATGAGATCCTAGATGTAACTGTATTGTTTGGCTTGCAGAACCTTTGCTACTAGTGATGATACACGAGAAGAAAAGAGCTCTGTCCGAGTCAACTCCTAGGGTAAGCTTACAGAACAGCCAGATGCAAAGACTTGTAAACTTAGTACATTTTATATGGAATCATTGAGAAAATAAAAATTGGCTCACCCAATACCATTTTTACAAGTCACTCTTTAAAGTAGAGCTGCACTTTTGGCTGTCAAAGCAGTAAGAAAGAACAGTCAAAGCTACTAAAATGCCCACTCTCTCTACAAGATAAAGCAATTACTTCAGAGAGCCACTTCTCCTGCACCAAATTTTGCAGCACTTGCTCTGCTTCCTTTTTCTTCATTTTCTTTGTTTTAAGTTGGTCAGCCAGGTTTAAAATATTTGTGGAAGATGCAAAGCCACTTTCTGATATGATGATCACATCCATCTGCAGAAAGAAAAATATCTGATGAGAAAAAACATACAATTGGCTAGCCCCAGTCCTGAGTTAATGGCAATGTGGAGGTTTTTTTCAGCACCTAGCTTAAATATACTATAAAATGCAACATATAATGCAAATAGTTCAGGAAACAACCAATTAAGAGGCTGTTGGCAGTGTTAACCTGCCACAGGGGAGACAATTCCTCAACTCAAACTGCAAGATGGGGGCTTGCAGGCAGCAATGTTGAAGCCCCTTTAATACACTGCAATGATGCTGAATATATGATGCATCCTCCACACCAGGGAGGAATCTGTGTCTTGACTTGGCCTGAGATCCATGCTTCCTTGATGAAAGATCTTTATCCATCAGGAAGGTATCTGTTCCAACTGGATTCATGTGCACAAGTAAATGTACTTGACATTCTTAGGCTGAATTGGTACTGCCAGTTTTCAGAAATTCTATCATCTTTAGTTTAGCTTCAGTGCAAAATCTGTGATGGCAACAAATCTTGGGAGTGCTAGTGAAGGCAGGACACATGCACTTTCAGCACACTGTATCTGCTCAGCACAACTCTAGAGGAGAGTGGTAGTAACCTATGCCCTGGTCTACACTGTTGATCTCATCAATGAAGCTGCTCCAGTCTTAGACCAACAATGTAAGTATTTCTGAAAGCTGTCAGTGTAGATGAAGACAAACTTCACATTGAGGCAAGTGAGGATTTTCTTCTAGGCAAGCAACACATTGCCCTTGCAGTCCATAAAGAACAGATGTATTTTTAGCTCCGGTAGGCCCAAAACATACACAGTCTCCGAGCGATCACAGAAACTCACTATACTCTTTACGAACAGAACCGAACAACATTATAACAAGAAACCAACAAAAAGCAAGATACTGAATTATCATGGGAAATGCTAGTGATGACGACGTTGGTTCACATGAAGCAGGACACTGCATATGGACCCAATGAAGGAGTCTGGAGCTTTGAAAACTGTTCGAGAGCTGTCTGCCTGTCATCTTAGGCGGCATTGTCAAGTGCTATCAATGCATAGGATTCATCGACTAAACCAACAATATACAATCCACTTTATCACAATCTTCAAATCCAAGTACTAGGTTATTTATGTCAAAATCTACTGTATATTAAAGGGATCCTGAAACCTTCTATTCCCAGACAGAATTACCCAGTCATTGCTGGGAATTCTGGGACAGTACTGCTGCAGAAATATGATTATTAAACTAAAAGCAGGTCTGCCAAGTCTTGCTCTGAGAAGCACTTTCTCATTATTGATTTCGATTTAACACTACTTTATCCCCAAGAGGGAAAAGATTTATGCCACACTTCTATTTTTTCAATTGATTTGTGGTACAACTAAAAATGATAAACTAAAGCAATAAGGTAGCTTATTCTTCAAGCAGTTTTCACAGACTATTCCTTTTATTTTAAAGAGGAGACCATTCCCCCAACAGTCTGATTTGCTGAGTAATGAGATGACATACAGTACTTACAGTTTTTCTGAACAATTCTAACTCATTTTCTGTATAGTCAGATGCCATCTTAGATATTTCAGTTTCTGCCAGATTCACCTATAAAATAACATAATTATTGAACTAAAACTACCTTTGTATTTCCAGCCAGAACAAAGCATGTATTATTTTAAAATAACATAAAGGTCACTTGTTGCAATAGCATGAAGGGGAACATTCTTTCTTGAGACAAAACCTTTTATTAACAAAAACACCTCAATCCTGCCCTTGTAGCACCACCTGTATTCCAGTCCTGGGCCTCTCCTGAGCAAACACTCCACACTGTGCGCAAATGGAGACTAAGATGAGACTGAATTTTTCACTTATACTAAGCCAGTACTTCAGATAAAGGTTTAGATTCTGAGATAAGTTGAGATGAAAGGGATACAATAGAACAGCATTCAAAAAATCATGAAAATACCTAATAGCAAATAGTAATTTACTATGGTTAATAGGTGGCACTACTTGATTATTAAAAACAACAATACTTTGTATTGCTCTTGCACCTTCTACCATTATGTATTATTAGCCCTATTTTACACATGGGAAAATGGGAACCAGGAGCTAAAGGCATTGGTCAAGGTTGCACAGAGCACATGATTCCCAGACCTGTGAAATCGGCAGACACTGCTCTGTCTCTCACTGACATTTACAATCCAGAAATTCCAGAGAAATCATTTCCTAGAAAATCCTTTCTACTGGATGAATTTTTGATTAGCAGGTGCAAAAAACCCATGTTGGGGAGATTTGAGAGCTTTCCAGATGAAGTTACAGATAGAGAAAAAAAAGTTCCTTTTAAAAAAAAACTTATTGCAGCACCACCTCTTAATATTTATGCTAAATAAGACACTACTACAGTCCTTGCTACCATGTTCCATTCCCTCGTGTCTATCACGTGAACAGTTTATCCTCACACTTCCCTGTTCTATATGTAGATCATGTAGATTCTAGAGCAGCTGTCAGCATAAAACTGAAGGAGTCCAGCCAACACAAGACATCACTAAGTGTGAGAAGCGTGCTGGCAGACACATCCTCATTCGTAAGATTCTGAATATTTGTTCTAAATAACATTGCTATTATAGTCCTTTGTTTCAGTACTTCTATTGGTACCTCACACTCAAGGATGGCATTTGGAGCCCAAAGAGAAATAGTAGCTATATTTGTGAAGCACTGGCAAAAATACAGTCCCTGCCCGAATGAGCTTACCAGTCTAAAAGTCTTAGGAGGAATGTGCACTTTTCATTGATATGCAGGCCTGCGCCAGGCACCAGCCCACCGAGCATGTGCTTGGGGCAGCGCCTGGAGAGGGGCGGTGCGGCGGGGTCCAGGCCGGTCGGGGAGAGCGGCCCCGGCTGGGCTCGCCGCCCTCCCCCCGGCGCTCCAGCCGGTCGGGGAGAACGGAGAGCCACAGCCGGGCTCTCCTAGGGCAGCAAAAAAGCCAGAGCCGGCCCTGTTGATATGTTACACATGACAATTAATTTTATGTTAAGTATAGAGATGACTCCCCCTACTGCTGCATCTTTGAAATGTGACATTGGTTAGCGTTACTAGTAGTTAGAAATTAAATCCAGGAGGTGGCAGCATATCACACACTTACCAATGCGTAATATGTTCTCCCATCATCTTCAGACATTCCCTTCCGGATCTGCATAAAGAAAGGCTGTAGATGGATGTTAACAACATTGATGAAGTCATCCAATTTATCATGAGCATAGTAGACTGGAATTTAAAAAAAAAATGGTTAGCTAGTCAGACAGCCAATCTCACACTACTGAAAACCCAGTCTTGGGCAACAAAGTTTGAGACACCCAGGCAGTGTTTTGAACATGTCTTGTACATTTAGCTGGCATGTACTTTGTCCTGTGCGCCTGTCTCAGTTACAAGAGATATTATCTGTATTACAGGAGCACCTGGAGGCCTCAGCCAGGGCTCTAGACCCATTGTGCTAAGTACTGTACAACTGTGTAATACAAAGGCAGTCCCTGCCCCAGCGAACTCACAATCTAGGTTTATGACAGGACTCCAAAGGTGGGTGAAACTGACAAACGAGAAAGAACCAGGTAAGAGTAAAATAAGCATGTGTTTGCATTATTAATTTGCCTGACCATGATAAGGTGGTGTCATGGCAGAGGTGAGTCTTAAGGAGAGCTCTGAAGGAGTAGTCACTAGAGGAATATTCTTTTGGGCGACAACTACACCATTTGAATTTTAGATGAAAGTCTGCTTGCACTAGCAGATCCTCTCCCCATGGAGGGAAATCAAATGCTGTGCTCGATAATTTTAACATCTGTCAAATTAGTTTGCACACTTACTGGTGGTGGTGTAGGAGAAATAAAGGGTGCCACACTTAAACTATTTAAAATTTTTTATTAAAGCTAATGTTAAAAAATTATATAGTACACAGTTTAAGAAAAGAGTGTCTGTACATCTGCGTATGGTGCTTAGATTATCCACAAATACAAAGTTTGTTTTTAAAGTCACAAGATATTGCATAATCAGCAATAACCCAAATTTAGGTGAACAAATTTAAGAATACAGTTTAGATATTAGCATCCAAAGTATTCGGATACATCACTCATGAAAAGTTATATAGAGAGTTGGTTGTGGAAAGCAAATATAGCAATTGCCCCTCCGCAATTGAGAATTTAGGGTAGGTTGTCCTTTTAGAAAATACAATCCATGAGGAAAGTATTTCAAACCTTCCTTCTCTTCTGCTCCTATAAACTATTCCTAGTCTGGGGAAAACATTTACAGAGACTACTCCCTAAGCTAAAACAGTGACGTTTTCTCAAGGAGAAAGGGATGGAAAAATTCTTTCCTGTGGGGACACAGATGAACGACTGATCCAAACACCACACTTTTAGAAGGTACACTAATGAGAGCAGTGGGAGCACCTACATAGAATAGACTAAGAAAAGAGCCACTTAAATGGCCTATAAACAACAGTAAAGTAAAATTAAGAAAAGCAGCCCACCCTCCCCCAAGCACCTCAACTAAAAACAAAATACAAATAACTAACCCAAAATAAATGAGAAATATATTAACATTAGAAACAAGACAGTAACACAACAATTTTTTTCCCACTTTCTTTTAACCAGAACATTCTCCCAGATGGGAGGTGCACCATTCCTGGAAGCACTGCAATACCAGGTTGATGCATGGAGTGGATGGCGTAAGCTCCTATTCCAGCTCCCTGTTTCAAAAATCCATTTAATATACACAAAAAGAACAGGAGTACTTGTGGCACCTTAGAGACTAACAAATTTATTTCAGCATAAGCTTTCGTGGGCTACGGCTCACTTCTTCAGATGCATAGAGTGGAACACACAGACAGAAGATATTTATACATACAGAGAACATGAAAAGGTGGAAGTACCCATACCAATTGTAAGAGGCCAATCAATTGAGATGAGCTATCAGTAGCAGCAGAAGAAAAAACTTTGACGTGATAATCGAGATGACCCATAGAAGGTGTGAGGAGAACTTAACATGGGGGAAAAAATTCAATTAGTGTAATGACCCAACCATTCCCAGTCTCTGTTTAAGCCTAAGTTAATTGTGTCTGATTTGCATATTAATTCGAGTTCAGCAGTCTCTCTTTGGAGTCTGTTTTTCAAGTTTTTTTGTTGAAAAACTGACACCTTCAAGTCTGTCACTGAGTGATTAGAGAGGTTGAAGTGTTCTCCCACTGGTTTTTGAATGTTATGATTCCTGATGTCAGATTTGTGTCCATTTATTCTTTTGCGTAGAGACTGTATGCCAGAGAACACTTCAACCTCTCTAATCACTCAGTGACAGACTTGAAGGTGTCAGTTTTGCAACAAAAAAACTGGGAATGGTTGGGTCATTACACTAATTGAATTTTTTTTCCCCCATGTTAAGTTCTCCTCACACCTTCTATGGGTCATCTCGATTATCACTTCAAAGTTTTTTCTTCTGCTGCTACTGATGGCTCATCTCAATTGATTGGCCTCTTACAATTGGTATGCGTACTTCCACCTTTTCATGTTCTCTGTAGGTATAAATATCTTCTGTCTGTGTGTTCCACTCTATGCATCTGAAGAAGTGAGCCGTAGCCCACGAAAGCTTATGCTGAAATAAATTTGTTAGTCTCTTAGGTGCCAAAGTACTCCTGTTCTTTTTGCGGCTACAGACTAACACGGCCGCTGCTCTGAAACATTTAATATACAGTTTATTACATCTGTATCTGTGCCAAAGATACTGGAAGTAGCTGTAGCAAAACTCATAACCTTCCTCTGTGCTACATGACTTGTATTGGAATGCGTTCTATCCATAATACACAATCTAACTGAAAGGGCAGAAATTGATCATATATTATTTTTGTACTGACGTACACTGGCAGGTCTGAGCGAAAAATTGGATAGGATTAATCTTATATTATCAAGATGTGGCCATTTACTCACTATCTTTACCACTCTTCGCATAGTCTGTACACTTTCCTCTACCATCTATCTGTCTGTAGATTGTAAAATCCTTGGAGAAGGGATCATGCCCTCTTTTCTCTTTGTAAAATAGCTAGAAATAATGGGTGCTCTGGGAAATACGTTATTTATACTGATAACTGCAGTCTTCTGGAGGTATCAAAGGATGCCTTGTGGCATCACACACTCCAGGTTGGTGTAAGATCTGTATGTAAGCCAAGACACCCTTTTATTCCAAGATGTCAAACTATAACCAGTTTCCAGCCCAGTTGGGTTTTTTACATTTTTTTTTAAACTACATCAGTTTGGTAAAAAGTTGCAGTTTACCAAAAAATGATTGTGGATGATCTTTCTGTAACAATAATACATTGTCTCTTTCTTTAAGGTGTAGAACACAGTCTCAACTAATGCCATATCAGAGATGTAGCTATTTATTGTGCTTTCAGTTGAGGAGAAAGGAAGGAAAATGCTGTTCCAAGACATGGCTAATAGATAAAGCAAAATCGTTCATAGCATAGAAAACAAAGCATATGCTAGAACCAACTAGTGTTCTTTATCCTCTCTGTAAATAAATGAGTCCCAGCCCTGAACAGTAGATATGCACATGGACAATAACATGTGGCAGCATTAGAAGCAAGCTCATTATCTACAAGCATAGGACGCATATTGGAGCATTTGCTTTGGCAGGAATTATTTAAGTTCAAGGGCAGTTGACAGACCAGCAGAGTAGTAACTAAATGGAACACTGTAAACAATCTGATTTTATTTTAAGTCTGAGACCAACTCTTAATAATAAACCAGATCAACAGACCCCTGGCCAGAACACAAGCTGGAGGTCCGCTCTGGAACTAAGGACTGTATCTGTACTGGAGGTCTCTGTGCCTCTCCTAGGGATTGTGAGTATAAAGCAAACTAAATGCTGCTTTGCCTTTTGGTTAATGATCATTCTGACTCAGACACTGGGCTGAATATTCATCCCCTCTTTTAGACAAGGAAAGTAATAGCAAAATAATGACAGAGATAAAGACCAGAGAGTTTTTACCACAGGATTGGTCAGAGAAACCATAGCTTCCTAGTAAGTTTCAGAATACATACAAGGGCAGATACAAACCTAGGGATCCCTTATTTAGGACAAAAGACTATATAAAAAATGTTAGTAAGGACTTTAAGAAATGTGACAGGCCCTTTATTTACACATCTTACTTGACATCTAAGCATATGGTATATTACACTATTTTGTGTACTTAATCTCCACCTATGCAGATGTCAATTACAAAGGAGAGAAAAGTGAAGTTCTACTCTGAAAAGTGACAATGTAAAAACAGCACCTTGCATCTTTACACTTTGACTCCGAATGGATTTAATGCAAAAGTCATTGAGAAACGATGTAATATTCACTTTTCAGAGTACAACCACACTAAGAAAAATGACACCTATACCATAATCTTCAATGTTCATAATTTTTTAGGGTTTAGCATTAAACAAAAATCAGAATGAACCATGAAACTATAAGATTACTTTGGATTTTAAATCCGTGGTGCTCAGTTTTGATTTCACAGCAGGCTAACTAAAGGTGAGTGTCACTGAGAAATGCTTAATTTCTCCATTTCATCTAATTATTCCTCAAATACAAACTTTTTAAAAAAAAACTTCTATGAAAAGCACCCTATCACACTTGGAAATCTTGCCAAATCATGTAATTATTACATGTAAAAAAATAAAACCAAAAAAAAGCACCTACAAGAAAAACCAGAGCTGCTTGTAAGTCTGACAGAATTGTATTATTGTTAGGTGCACTTCACATTAAGAAGACTTAAAATTTCACAGGTTGCAACTGCATTTACCATATTGACTGATTTACAGGGTTATACTTGAGAACATCTTTTTCATTAGCTTTCCTGTGTTTTTCAGGTTCAGCATTCACACATGCAAAGAGACCAGAACAAGTCTGTGGTTTTGTTTGGTTGGCTGGGATTTTTGAGGAGGACTGGGTATTTGGCTTTGATTTTGTTTTGTTTTTTAAATGTATCATGTTCATTATGGTGGTGCCTAGGGACCAACCAAGAACAGGTCCCATCCCCCGTACTCCACCCCCATGGTGATATTCAGTGTTTGTACAGTGCCAAAGAGATAGTCCTTGCCTCAAAGAGCTTACAATCTAAACTGTGTTTGACTTCTGACCAGACTTCACCATTAGCTGTTAATCCTTAAGATGTGTATCCTATTTTTCATTATTAGTAATAAATGATAACCTATATGTATACAGTTCCCCCAAAC